TTAGGAATCATCATAAATATCTCAATAATTTCACTACCTGAAATAGAATATAATTATTCAGCAAATACTAATGGAGTTTCTATATTTCAAAAACAAAAGAAAAAACTAATGGAGTTTCTTAAATTTCTGGTTGTATGATACAATCAGACTCTTAATGTGATACTTAAGATTTCTTAGATTGTCTAAGGAACCCTAGGTGCAATGTTTATTATCCATATCCCTAAGTAGGCAAATCAGTTATATTTTTCTCCTACATCTATCGAGTTGTAGCAGTTGTTTAAAACATAATAACTGGATTGTCATTTTCTCAAACTAATTGACCTTATTATAATTAGGTTGAACACCCAAGAACCCGTTGTAATTTACCTTATCTAAATTATGGTTTTTAATTTATTTATAATAGTTCTCCTTCTAGTCGTGTTACGATTTTTTTTTGAGTTAAATTCCTACTTAGATTTCTTGTCCTTTTTAGGGTAGGATTACATTGGAGGCAGAGAGTTTCTCTCTAGATTGAGTTATACAATCAATGATATCTAGGCTTAACTCTAATGTCTGAGTAGGCACATATCCCAAATTTTGTCCTATATCTAGTTACATAAAAGGTATGCACATTTAGAAACGTCAGATATTCTGTGTAGTTCATCTAATTCTAATTGTTAACAGAAATGGCTATACCTGAAGAAGATAGCCATGCAGCCAATCTAATGTTTGTGGAAATGTAGTGGCTGATACGTTCACCACCGACAAGCCCTGTTCCAAGAGAAAGTTTAGAAAAGAAAGAGAGATTCAGAGGCAAAAGCTGTTGCTTCTTACCACATATACTTTAGAAACAGATATCTACAGACAACAGTTTTATGATTTAAAAGCAGCTACAAACATCAAAAAACCTATAACATCATGATAAAGAAAACTTTTTCCACCTTAATAGAAAATATAGAAATGAGCTAATATAATGGTAATAATGAGTGTTCTAACAATATAACAAGAGGCAAGTCTACCCATTGTTATATATCATCATTAGTATTACAAAGGGTAAACAAAGGGATTCTTGAGTGTTCTAAAAATATAAAGTAGCTCCTCTAATTAACTCAATGTAACTGTCGATTTCTCATAGGTATCTACTACTCAACAGAACCCATAAGATTAAAGTGTCGCATCCCAAATATATTCTCAAGTTGACAATAATGTACAAATTTAAGAATTATGATATCAACTACATATAACCAAATAAGGAGAGATGACTAAAGCATATTTTTTTTCAAATAACAAGATGAAAAATATATTAAATCAGTAACAAAAAGAGGGTGCGACCCGTATACATAAATATTTACATTTTAGAGAGATGACTAAGGCATAATACTTAACTGAATTGGGTAGATTGTGGCAAGAATTAGTATTGCTTTGATTTACAAGCAAATTGTTGTAACAAGGCCTGAAAACTCCAGAGATTACTAAAAAAAGAATCTATGGCTTCTTTGTTGGCTTAAATATTGAGTATGACCCAATTCGGATCCAAGTTCTCGGGACGGATCCTTTAGCTTCATTATATCTAGCTTATTCCTATCTTCAGCACGAGAATTGTAAGAGTGCAATGATTATTTTTAGTAGTGTAGACGAAGCAGGGTTAATTACAGGTGCCTTTCAAAAAAAAAAAGGCAGAATCTTTCTGATAAGGATCAGGTAACATGTGAAGGCATACAAGAGATACTCCAAATCAAAATCTAGCCTTAGAGGGAAATTCACTTTCCAAAAAGAGAGAGATACAACAAAATCACATCTAACAAGACTGAATAAGAAACTCTAGATAAGAATTTACAGGCATAAACCCCCAAAAAGGGTCCCCATAAATTGGTTACAGTTAGAAGCAGAAAAAATTATCAACAAAAGCAATTAGGACACCAAATACAACTATTCTCAATCATCGAAACTTCTAAAGAGAAAAATGTTTTAAGATGGGTGAGTTCAAAATGATTCAAAAAGGACGAGATAGGAGAATTATGCCTTCAATCAGAGTCAAAGGATGTCACCCTCATCCAGTATCCTCTCAGAAACCAAGACAACCCATCCCTCACCCTCAATCAGAGTCAAGGAGATAGAGTTCATAAGCCTGCGTGATGGATATCTAAGAACGTCTATGGATATGTTCATTTGCACTTTAAAATCCCAACCATAGTCCGAGTTTGCTCTTCAACATCTTCTGCCACGAGGTTTCTAGGCATTAAGTTTCCTATACTAAGGCTCCTCTCCTTAGATTAACACCATCCCTCTAATCCAACTAAATGGCCCCTGGAAGCCTCACCCACAGCAGACCAAGTGTTAACTAGTCTTGAAAATTGTTGAATAAATTTTTCATGAAACCTGCAAAATGATGCCAAAAAAAAGGAACTATTGGAATACCTGCTGATCCCCACTGTTATAATGTAACTGACTTTGAAATACTAGCTAAATGGTCAGATTTGAACACAAGCAACTATTAGAGGAGCTACTTTACTACCTAAAACTGAGACTGATTGAATTTAAATCTTTTTATAATAGACATGGTGCTTATACAAACTAAACCATCTGCATTAATAAAAGCCTTCCTAAATAGTACTAAATACTCAGGATGAAGAAAATGGTACTTTTTCCTTTTTGACCAAATGCATCAAACACGAATTAGTGTACCTGTGACTTGAAGGAGCAGAGATAGTCTTGAATAGTTTTTAAATTGGTCATTAACGTGCTCTTATCCTGCAAAGTAAGAGAATAAATATTAAATCTGGCTTTGAATTATGTTTCTAATTGACCAAAGTATGTGAAAGAACAAATGTCAACTCAGTTAATAGGTAATAAAGACACGGAACTATAGAATTCAAGCCATTGAAGACAATATGCTCTTTTTCTATATATCAAATTACTTCACTTTAACTCATTGTTTCTTTCCCTATATTGACCATATTAGGTAATGAAAGTAGTAGTCAACAACAAGAATTTCAATAAACTACTTTTACAAATGTCTTGATAGTCGGTTTTCACGGAATTTCTTTTTTTTCTGTAACTTAAATGATAGAGAAACAACAAACATGGCTCTTGATTGTTTCTACAATATCCATCTCCTTGATTCTGGCATTAGGAACCTTGAGTCAAAAGCAATGGCAGAGTTAGGAGACTTGATTTAAGGGAGGCAAAAATTTGTGCCGGTAAAAGTAAAAAAGGGGCGTAGGGTTGAAGCCCCCGCAGTAGAGTAAATCTTAATTTTATTTTTCTTTTTAAGTAAATTTATTGTTCTATTAGATAAATCATAGTTACATCTTATATCAGTTCAATTAGTTGGTCTTGAAAAGAGGAAGCGGCTAAGGAGAAAATTCTGACTTTGGATAATTTGATGAAAAGAGGAAAAACTTTGGTCAACAAGTGTTTCCTCTGGAAATGCAACGCTGAAAGCTGCACGATATTCTGTTATGGTGCTCCTTCTCTACAGATTTATGGAATATGATCTACAGCTTGATGGGTATTAAATGGGTAATGGCGGACTCTATTCATAAAGAACTTTTGGCTTGGGAAGGTCTACTTTCTTACAACAAAGCTGCTTGCCTTATCCCCCTCTCTATTTTTTGGATTTTGTGGAAAGAGAGGAACAACCGTACTTTTAAGGGCATTGAAAATACTCTTGTAAATATTAGAAATAGATGGTTACACTATTTTGACTTCTTACTCTTGGGTCACAATTTACTATCCTTATAGAATATCGGCGCAGATGTTGATATGCTAATTGACATGTAATATCCTTTTATATATTGGGCGGTACCCCTTGATACCTTTTAATCCGAATCTTCTTTTATTTCAAAAAAGAAAATTAGTTGGTCTTGAAAAAATTAGAAATATAAGGTGTTAAAGAAGAATTTCATTTTATTTAATGTAAAAAATCTCTGAATATCTTGTCTTAGCCTAGGTAATAAATAGGTCTCTACAATCTGTCTTGGTGTGTAAGAGAGGATTTCAATATATGTAGGTATCCAGATGGGAGCATAGGAGGGAATAGAATGACTACACAAATGGAAAATTTTAATAATTTTATAGAGGAATGAAAGGTGAGAGATCCCCCCTATGTAATTGTTAATTTACTTGGTCAGTTGATAGACAAGGGATTTTGTCATCACACTTGATCGGTTTATAATCTCTATGCACTACAAGTAATCTTTTTTAGAAGGGGATGGAGAAGAAAGTGGTCAAGATGCGAGAGAGCTGGAAGGTGGTTTTTCTCTCTAGGAGATAGAGTAACTTTGATCCAAGCTTATTTCTGCTATTTGGGGCATCTACTCGGAAAAGAATACTAGAATTTCAAGCATCATTTTCAAACACAAACCACCTGCTCGGGACAGGAGAATTTCTTTGGTTTGCTTTGGGCTAAAGCCCACAGGTTTCTTCAAAGGAATGCCTTCATCAACTTTTCACTGGGATTGGAGCTCCAGGCAGTTTATCTTACATTTTCTATTTCTTGTTTTTTGGGTGAAGGATTCTTTATCATCTCCTCTTTTTGAAATTCTCTTCCCCTTCATTAAGTTCTTTTATTTAAAAAATGAATTAAATTTATCTGGAATTAAGATATTTTCCATACCTGATCTAAACATTTATCACCAAACGTACGAGTTGAGATCCACTCCTCTAGCAATGCCTAAAAAGAAGGGAAAAGATTCAAAGTTAAAAGCATCCTGGTAGGAAACAAAAAATTCAAATTTGAGAGAGAACTAACATTGACCTTCTCAGATTCCAGAAATTAGGACTTATGTCCATTTATTGGAAGGAATAGTAACCTATTATCTCATATATTGTGTGCTTAGCTAGTACACACCAAATATCAATAGCTATTTGCTTTTTTCCCTTTCAGCAAATAGATATACCTTTTGTTCATTTTACATACCCCAGTTTGCAGGCATTTGATCACCTTGTAATTTTCTTCTCAAACAATATAAGAGGACAGAATATCATCCATATGGCTGCTGACTATATGAATATTATGTTCTTCAATTTTAATTTTTTAATGATTGTTTTAGATCAAAGAAGAACTATTATTAGGATAAAAGAAGCAAAGAATTCAAAAAAGGGGGAAAGGAGTACCCCAGAGCAACCTCAACAACACAAAAACAAAAGCAAGAACAAAATCAGTACAAGATAGCAGCCTTGGTATCTTTGCAAAATAGCTAAAGAGACACCCTCTCCCTGGAAATTTTTTTTCCCACTGTATCCTGCATTTCAAGGCTACCATTTCTAACACAACAACCATCGGGATTCAGTGAAGACAAAACATAAAGCTAGTGAAGTTAAAGCTTTTCACATAAATTTCTCTCAAAAGTTATATAAGTAACAATGGCACCTTATGATCAAATTCAGCCATCTTCAGAACTAGAGGAATAATAATTGGTTCAGGACCAGATCTTTCTTTCTGTACATGAGGTTTCCCGTCCATTTTTGTATCTTTAGAAGTTTCAACTGCAAGGATAAAATCAACAGTTAATGAACAACCACATCAAAGTTTTTTCATTCTTTGGAATCTATACATTTATACAGACACATTCCACAATTCTGATAACAGGAAATTCAAACATGTTAGCAGAATTAAGAAAATATAACCTTTATGGTCTGAAACGTTTTCTGCTAGGTCTACAGTCTTTAGAGAAGCAGCGACTTTGTTCAGCAGGTCAGAAGATGGCCCTTCTGAGCCCATATGCTCAGAAATGTTGTTTATTTCATTATGACTTCCACAGAGACCACTAGAACTATTTCCGTTTTGTGCCACAGGATTATCGTCTGATGCAACAGACGCAGAGTTAGCGTTTATCTCCTTCACTTTTTCTGGCACATTAGCTGGTGATTTGTTCTCTTCATCCATTAAATAGATGCTTGGGTCCAAATGTATACCCTGTCAGTATCAGCGTAAACAATATCATGCGGCAAGCCCTGGAGAGTAGAAGTCTCCTATTTTTCTATATTCAAATTAAAGAAGCCATAATTTTATTGATTAGATGCTGAACAACTGTGGTACATCACTACCCTGGACTTTCCAACAACAAAAGCTCATTCAAATTCTTCGATATCAATAACATATACAAGAAACTTTTAATACACATTGACTATGCACATCATTCCTTGGTGGGGGTTCGTCTCATCATGTTGCTAAATGCAGGAAACCGTGTTTGATTAGACATATTATGGATCACAGAAGGTGAAAGACACCATCTGAGCATCTCAAAATACAGTCTGGTGTTTTGAGCTTTGAAACTGTAAAGAATATCATTTCCCTAGGTCTCCTCTCATATAGTAGGCCGCTTTTCGTATGTGAACGTACTCTCCAAGTTTCAATTCCTATCCTTAGTGTGTGCTTATGTATATGTACATAGATATATGTATATATGCGTATACATATCTATATGGTCATAAATGTGTGACATCCAACTCAAACTGTCATTATCTCACTGCAGAGAGTTTATACATATCTTTTGCATGCCAAAGACTAATATTTTCTCTTACTTTTGAGTTATTCACACGTAATTGTCTACCCACAGTTTGATGCTAAAGTAAAAAATTTTCGAACTGACAAACCTGGTTGGTTACAGAGAGGTGGGGGACACTGATTTCTCGACTAAAATGATTTGGAAGGCAAAAGCTCCACCAAGACTCTCTATCTTTGCCTTGGAAGCAGAAAAGGAATGTATTGAATATTGATCATCTGATGAAAAGAGGAAAAACTATGGTGAATGTAAGCTTCCTTTGCAAAGTGATGCTGAGACTTGCAACCACATCCTGCTCTGGTATCCATAACTTACAATCAATGGACTTTGGTCTATGG